AAATTGTAAAGCCTTTTCACACACTGTAGATAATAACTAGTCTAACAGCGAAAGAGGCAGAAGGATGTCGTTGTACGAAATGCAACAGGGTAACTTTTATTTCACTTTCTGGCGCTAAAACAAGGAGCAAGTGAAAAAACAAAGCTTCTAAAAATAACGCACTGAAAGTGAAAAACCGAGGCTTTGTCACAGAAGACGCAGCAAAGACTGAATTATTATTAGCATTTTTTTGACTCAGATTTTTGCCAGAATTTCCAGATTCGCAACGTTGATGAGGTAACACACTGGTCGGCTTTTGTTAGCTCAGTTCTGTTCCCCTGCCGATGCAGCTGGCAGCATTTCCATGATTGCTGTGCCTGCAGCTACATCACCGTTGGGTTAGATTGCTGATGGCCGTACCATTCAGTGCATTGATTTTTATGCGTTTTTTGTAGTTGTTCAATGAAAAAACGCATATAGACGAGGGGTTGTCTGTGTGTCTGTGTGTGCGTCTGTCACGCATTTTCATCTCAAGACCTATAAAAGTTACAGGAATGAAACTTCGGGAACTTAACCTACATGCACGCACAGGCCCCAATCCACAAAAGGGCGCCATTACCCGCGTGTTACCCACGTAAGAGACCACCAAAGTTTTTTACGGGTAACTTCATAACTCGGGGATCAGTGAAGCTAGAAAGCTGAAATCTTAACGGGATGTTCCCCGTCCAAGTTGGTTTTAACGAACTCAAACCCATCCCCCGAGTAGGCGTGGTACCCGCGTACGGACCCGCCAAAATTTTTTTCAGGTAAGTTCACAGCTCGAAGACCTGAGAAGCTAGAAAGCTGAAATCTTAAGGGGATGTTCCCCGTCCAAGTGGGTGTTAATGTGCTCAAACCCAGCCCTCGGGTGTGCGTGATACCCACGCACGGGCCCACCAAATCTTTTTTTGGCTAAGCTGATAACTCGAGAATTTGAAAAGCTAAAAGACTGTAATTTTAAGTGAATATTCCCCGTTCACCTAAGTCTCATTGAGCTCAAACCCAAGCTCCAGGTGCGCGTGCTAACCACATAAGGGCCCGCCAAATTTTTTTCGGGTAAGTTGCTAACTCAGGAGCCCGGAAAGCTAGAAAGCTAAAACTTTAAGGGGGTGTTTCCTAACAGTTCTGGCGGCCAATCCTAATTTGTTTAGCTAGAAGCATTTGCCGAAAAAACCGGTGCCGTTAGCGACAAAAAGTGCGGGGAACTATGCAAAAAACGCATCTTCGCACGGGCAGCCCGTGCGTTGGCCAATTATTTCCCCATGGTCCCCGATTACCAGTTACACTAGTTGATGGTTCCAGTTTCTGTTAAGCAAAAATTATTCACGGTCATTCACCAGGCATTGCTGCACTACACATCTAGCTTCATTAATACCGAAACTACCCGGACTATCAGTGGGAGTACCCTCTATCAGTGATACTACTAGGATGCTCCCAGACGTTGAGTCCAGTTATGCCAGGCCCTTCGATTCTTGGCTACATACCTCCAGTTAATATGCTCCGCCTGTCCTACGTATATGCGCCACACTTTTGGGGGGTCGCCCGAGTGCTCGTTTACTTTCTCATGGACACCACTCACTAGTGCATATTGTCCACTGGTTACCATCAGGGCGGCAAAACATGTCCTGCTCATCGGATTTTACATCCTCAGTGATATTCTGAACGCCGCTCAATCTCGCGAAGAGTCTTTTAGAAGAAATTAGGGTAGTGATTGTTCTATCGCGTTCACTGAAGGGTCATGCTCTGTTCCCGGGCAGATGGAAGCACTATAAAAGAGCTAGGTTTTCGGAGGTCTGGATCTCGACCATTTCTGGATCAGTGTTTACTTTTTTATCGATGAATAATGTTTGATGTACATCGCATTCTCCGCTTTCTGTAAGAGCTGATGAGCCTTACTACTTTGCTCCTGCACAATCACCATGAAATCCATTAAGAATAGTAATAGAATTTAATCATATAGGAAAATTGGACTGTACGGAGGTCTGGATCTTTTCCTGCCCAACAGGCGATCTCGACATCTCTCGACGCCGACATCCCCGCTATCCCTGTTTGTTCTCTCTTCATTTCTGTTGATATTATTCCATTCGAATAAGAGCGTACATGTTGTCGGGAAGGAACAATTGCTAAGACCCAGTTCGGCCAAGTGGGAAAGCGAGTTACGATGACTGGGAAGCCGGAGTTTCCCATCTCAATCTAGCACTGTATAATTTCATGCCCAACTATGCCAACATTCTCCACTTTTTGTTTCCACCGGAATTTTGGGCCCAGGAAGAAGCCGTCTGAATCGTGTGTTATTGTTTGCATCTGTGTTTTCCCTTCAAAATACGAAGCAACACCACGTCAGCCGGCATCTTCCACATTATTTTATCTCACTACTGTATATAAAAATGTATTGTCCAAATGCATTTTGTGATATAGGGGGTTACGGTTCGTTATTAGTGATTAATCACACTTTCCATTTTTGCAGCACACAAATTTTATTAATCACTTATTTTAATACTACTCATTTTCACTTTTATTTTAGCTCATTTCATCTGAGCATTTTGTACTTATTGTATGTGATCTTCCGCCTGTAGATCCCGCCCCCTTCCTCCCCCGTACCCTCCCCTCCTGAGCCTATGTATAGATCGCATTGAGATGTCTTGTTTAGTGTTATTCTACGCTCGGCGGGACGGCGACATCTATGGAACAACGACAGCGACTGAGGGCCCTCATCTTGCTGAGTCTTGCCACGCAGCCTTCGTCCACGCAGCGTTTATTACGTAACGCTCGTCCTTCTGCTTCAGGTTCGTTCGTCTGTCTCTGAAAACCCCGTCACCGCGTTGTGTTGTACTTAAAGCCAATCCGGAACTCGAGTAGCCCGGTGAATCCGAGCCTTACTGCTTCGCACTCTCGTCGTAGTCAAAATTTGCACCGGAGCTTTCTTGGAAGC